AGTGGTGAGGCAATGACCCTATAATTTAACCAAGATGATTTATATAGGGTTACTTTTTTTGGTAATATTTACAAAAAAAGGTACCAATGATGCAAAACTGCTTGTTTTTTTTTTTAATTTGAGGAGTTAAAATGGCAGTTTGTTGAAACAGTGTTCAGAAACAATGAAAATCATCATGGATACTATTTACTTTGTTACTTCAGAGTAACTAGAGTAATAGTAATTGTAATAACCTAAGCAATTAACCTTCAGATATCGTGAGATTTGGCACTGCGCTTAAGACATATCTTATTTAACAAATTGGTTCGTGAAAAAGAATCTGAAGTTTTAGACTGTGTTTTTTTTTCAAAACCTCATTCTCAAACATGGCTACCAGGTATATTCACCGCCAGGAGGCAACTAGGCATGAACCATTTTACACTGATATCAGTTTGAGCTGAAATCTAATTTTGCAATAGAGCATGTTCCTATGCAAGGCATTGTAGAGAATTTCCAATTGTATATAATAGTAAAATACTACCTTAAAAACTTCAAAACATTGCAGCATTGTGGCTTTTGTTATACATTTAAAAAAATCGTGTATATCTTTGTTAATGTTAAATTATTCTATTTCTATAGGTGACAATACACCCAAGTTACAGGCAAAGTATAAAATTGATCTACAGACAAATGCTCAGAGAAATAAATTTGAATCTAAATATACGTACATATTACTTAGCTGTATTGTTTGCTGCTTTGCTTATCAAATATACATACTTGGTATACTTGGACGCAGTAAGTAGATTAAAATGACGCAGTAGTTGTATTCAGGCTTCACTCTAGGACGGGCTATTTTTGAAACTAATTCCATATCTTTGCGTACCAACTAGACCAAGCTGCATTCATTCATGAGAGGGAGCAACAGTTACTACAGACTAAGGGACATCAAAACGTATGCAAATCCTCAGTCCTTTTAACTTTGTTTTCTCAGCACAGTCCCCCCAGGTGGTATACAATTTTGTTTCATAATTATAAAACAATTCGAATGCAAATGCATGTTGTGGAATAATAAAAAGCTCATCGTCAGTACATTTTTTACTCTTAAGAAACATGTTCCTTAATGTGCTCATGTTGATTGCCATGTTGGGAAATAACATATAGAAATGGATAGTTATGAATATGATAGTAAATCTAATAAATGGACAACAAATACAATATGATATTGTGGGTGTTTTGTTCAAGCTAGCGTTCATGTACACTCCGTTTCCCGGTGCTAAGAGTCTCGACCAGGTCTTAAAATGGGGTCAGATTTAACTCATACTTTATTTGCCTGTAGTAAGTGTTCACACTTCTTTTCTTAGTACAGGCAAACTTTTGTGATCTAGGCCCGTGCCAAGGAGCTGTGCGTGAATGCAACTATACTGTCACATTACAAACATTCAAATGATATATTAACAGTGTTACAACCGGCACTATTCAGGTATTGATTTTCAAACCCAGCTACATACAGATATGATGAATGTGCCGAGCTTTAAGAAACAATTACTAACACTATTTTTACATGAAATTGACAACACTCCAGTTCATTACTGGTAGAAACTGTACTGATATTCACAAAATGCATGCCTATAGAAGTATGTATTTCAATAAGGCTAGTAGAGAATACCAAAAAGCAAAAAAAAAAAAAAAAAAACGTTGAGTGTAAGCATCAAAAGCATCAAACGCAGTGTGGAGATTTTGCCTTGGTCAGCCAATGTTTCAAACCATGTTCAATCAGTTTGTAACATTTGAAAGTGGCTCAGAAATTGTACTCGTAGACTTTATGAGGAAGGGAGCTCTTTGTGGTATTACAGAGAAATGTGTTCAAGATTGGTGTTGGTTTCATCAGCTTCAATTAGCACAAGGATCATTCAACATGAAACAATACTTCACTGGATTTGGTTGAGAAAGCGTTGTACCAGGATTGCATACGAGAGATTCACTTTGCCAAAATTAATGTACACGCAACCCTATGTAGATTTGATGTATACTGCAAACCCAACATTCTTTAGTGTGGTGCATTCAACTCTGAATTTTCTCTATAAATAAACCCTCTTTCATGTATAAAATGTAGAGTTCTCCTGTGCAATGTTGCATGGGACCCATACGGAACACAACACAGTGTGATAACTGTGGCAATTATGCATTTAGATCAAATTAATGTATCTGTCAATCATTACAAAACAAAC